CTTCACCCTGCCTGCCTGCTCTCTCTCTCTGTGTGTGCTCAATGCTAAAGAAGGATCCATTCTAGATTTGAAGCCTTCGTGACTGCAAGGACTCATACTCTTAGTTTTTTTGGTAAAGTCACGTAGGTAAAAAATGAAATAAAAATTAATAAAAAAAAAAATAAAAAAAAATAAAAGATCACGACGTTTCGGGGGCAACACAAGTCTCCGTCATCAGGTGGGACCGTCACAGCCAAATTTTCTGTATTAAGTGAGGCATCTTGGAATCCCTGCCTCACTTGATACAGCAAATCTGGCTGTGACGGTCCCACCTGATGACGGAGACTTGTGTTGCCTCCGAAACGTCGTGATTTATTATTATTTTATTTTTATAAATTTTTATTTCATTTTTTAGCTACGTGACTTTACTGACAAAACTAAGACTAAATAAGGATCATTGCCCGAAACGTCGCCTATTTGTTCGTATTAAAGCCACACACACACCACACACACACACTGTGTGTTGTTGTCGAATGTGCCCGTGCCTTCGCAGCAGCTGACCACGCGAGTGCAAATCGCACTTGGGGAATTTTCACACGCAACGCGATCGTGGTAGGTTGCATGTGTAGTGACATAAGAAGGGAGGGGCTGCTGTAGGCTCTGGGTTCCTAGGTGGGTTCAGACGCGTAAGCCTCTGGGCGCCAGGCACTGGGTTCCCAGGGGGTCCAGACGCTTTTAAGCCTTTGGGCGCCAGGCGTTGGGTTCCCAGGCGCTTAAGCCCTTTTGGCGCCGCCAACGGGGGGGGGGGGCTGTGTGTGCTCTGTGGGATGTCTGGTGGCGCACATGGCCCCACCCCTCGTCGGACCAGGCATAAAAGGAGAGCTCCCTGGACGATCGGGGCCCGGTTGTAACTCAAGACCCAAGACCCACGACCAGCCATCTGAAGACCCTGGGTTGCTGTGAGAGCCAGTGGTGGGACTCTGGAACTCCCGACTCTACGACCTTGTGAGGGCGAGCATAGCCAGAGTAGAGTATCTAGAGTATCTAGGCTGTGTAGCTAGGCTGTGTACCTAGGCTGTAACAGAGTATCAGGACTGTTGGAGTGTTGTATTGTAATAAAGAAGTTACATCTACAAGTGTCTCCGGAACCCGTTACATTTGGTGTTAGAAGTGGCTATGGAGACAAGAAGTAAGCCACGTACCTTCAGTCCTGACGGCGATGAAGAGGAGCAGGTAGCGATGGGGCGGCCAACGCCGGCCGACAGCGACGCTGCACCGCCGGCCGACAACAACGCCGCACCGCCGGCTGAGCAGCTGTCTGCTCCGCCGACCGTCCCCTCTCCAGCGTCGGGAGCAGAGATGGAGGAGGCGCTGCTTCGCCTCGCAGAGCTGCTCTGCGCCACCGCCTCCCTCCTGGGCGAGCTGCGGTGCTCGCGGCCGATGGCGGGAGGGAGAGAGGCGGCGCGGCGCTCGCCCGAGCCCAACGCCGCCGCCATTCCTCCCACGGATGTGAGGGATACTTCCGGGAATGACATCACTTCCACCAGAGGAGCAGTGACCGCTGGGAGCGACGTCACTTCCGGACCCAGCGTGTGCCAACCCGACGACGCCGCGTCATCAGCGCTGCGTCCCTCACCGCCGGGTGACAGCTGTTGGCAACCTAGCACAGCGCGTCATCAGCGCTGCGACCGGACAGTGAGGGCGCCATTCTTACTGTAACCAGCGCCGGGGCCGGCACATGGACCGACTCGCTGCTCGCCGCCTGTGCTGCTCTGGCCAAAGGTTGGAGGTCGGGAGACCAGGCCCCTGACATTTCGTACATTTTACGCGCTCCGGATTAATGATTTTTTTGTTGATATTTTCTTCGTTGTCGTCGGGGAGTCGTGACTGTTGTTGGGTAAACTGTGTGGAGCTTCGCCCGTGAGTGTTGTCAATGTGTGTGCGAAACTTTGCTTGTGATTGTTAACAATGTATGGTTTATATTGAGCTTTGTTCGTGATTGTTAATGTATAGCTTGTGCTGTCATTGTTAACGATGTATATACTGTATGGGGCATTTATCTTGAGATGGTGACATGCTGCCAAGGATTGGAATTGTCATGCTGGCTCTCAAATATCTTGGGGTGCAGATCCTGACCAGGATGTCCCAGCGGGTGTTGCGTGTCTAACACGAGAGTTGTGGTCCCGTCATGCTATGGCAGACGGCTTGACCTGACAGCCCGGAGATAGAGACACTCCGTGGCATGTCTAGCCTAGTGGGCTGTGTGCTCACATGGCTCGGAGAGTGTGGTCCCGTCATGCTATGGCTGACGGCTTGACCTGACAGCCCGGAGATTGAAACACTCCGTGGCATGTCTAGCCTAGTGGGCTGCACGCTCACAGGGCTCGGAGAGTGTGGTCCCGTCATAGAATAGCTGACGGCTTGACCTGACGGCCCGGAGGTTGAGACCCTCCGTGGTACGTCTGGAGCTGTAGGCTCGCCCTGACGGCCCGGAGATTGAAACACTCCGAGGCGCGTTGAAACAGTGGGCTGGAGATTCGTGGTGTTCAGGTGTAGTTGTCCCGTTACGTTGGGACTGTATCCCTCAGTTGTTAGGGTGCATGTTGCGCAGGGAGTGAACAATGGGTCGTCTCAGATCGGTCGGTACAGCTATATGCTGCGATGCGAGTCTTGGAGAGAGGTTGGGTCTCAGATCGGTCGGTACAGCTATATGCTGCGATGCGAGTCTTGGAGAGAGGTTGGGTCTCAGATCGGTCGGTACAGCTATATGCTGCGATGCGAGTCTTGGAGAGAGGTTGGGTCTCAGATCGGTCGGTACAGCTATATGCTGCGATGCGAGTCTTGGAGAGAGGTTGGGTCTCAGATCGGTCGGTACAGCTATATGCTGCGATGCGAGTCTTGGAGAGAGATTGGGTCTCAGATCGGTCGGTACAGCTATATGCTGCGATGCGAGTCTTGGAGAGAGACTGGGTTGAAGTCCCCCCCGATATGGCCGACGTGCGCGGTTTTAGGATGGAGATGCCACGTTGGAAAGGCGGGGTGTGCAAACGGTTGACATGTAATGTCGGTGGTGGTCCTCATTGAGGGCTGCTGGGACGCAAGCACAGGATGCCTTGGAGATGCTGTTCGCGCGTGCGGCCACCATTTATGGACAGGAGCAGGCAGATTTATTTTGGTTGTGTCATGTAAATTTTATATATATATTTAAAAATGTAGATACTGGAGCAGCCCTGAAGTGCGACTTCTTTGCCCAGTACATGGGTCGGCCCTGAAGTACGACTTCTCGACCCGGGACGTAGACAGACATCCGGATAAGTGTGTGTAGAGGGATGCTCGACATGTTAGTCTTTGCCTTCTCTCCACCTGACGTATGGGAGGCTGGCAGAGTGGTGTGGATCCCTGCCATCCATGCGGTGGTTATGTGATTTGGGTTCGATTACCGGTGTTGGTTGTGCATCCAACGCGTCGGAATCTGTATATTTGTTGTTGTTAATTCCCCGTTTTCTATGCGGATCCCGAGGAGGGCTAGGTGTGCCGCGGGTCGTTTGTTCACGTGTCATTGCTTCACCTTTTTGTTGATTGATGCTTGTATATAGTGTAGAGTTGTACAGGTTGGTTATGGTTTTTATGGTTGCTTTCTTGTTCTCTTTTCTTTTCCTGTTGAGGCTCGCATATTTTTTTTTCTCTCTCTCCCTTTCGTTAATTTAAACTTTCTAATTATTGACAGCCGGGACGGCTGGAGGCTACGTAGAGGGGGGTAATGTAGTGACATAAGAAGGGAGGGGCTGCTGTAGGCTCTGGGTTCCTAGGTGGGTCCAGACGCGTAAGCCTCTGGGCGCCAGGCACTGGGTTCCCAGGGGGTCCAGACGCTTTTAAGCCTTTGGGCGCCAGGCGTTGGGTTCCCAGGCGCTTAAGCCCTTTTGGCGCCGCCAACGGGGGGGGGGGCTGTGTGTGCTCTGTGGGATGTCTGGTGGCGCACATGGCCCCACCCCTCGTCGGACCAGGCATAAAAGGAGAGCTCCCTGGACGATCGGGGCCCGGTTGTAACTCAAGACCCAAGACCCACGACCAGCCATCTGAAGACCCTGGGTTGCTGTGAGAGCCAGTGGTGGGACTCTGGAACTCCCGACTCTACGACCTTGTGAGGGCGAGCGTAGCCAGAGTAGAGTATCTAGAGTATCTAGGCTGTGTAGCTAGGCTGTGTACCTAGGCTGTAACAGAGTATCAGGACTGTTGGAGTGTTGTATTGTAATAAAGAAGTTACATCTACAAGTGTCTCCGGAACCCGTTACACATGCAACCGAATTGCGTGCAACCGATCGCCCGGCCGCCTTTGTCTCCCCCGCGTGCCGGTGTTGACGCGCGCACGCAATCGTTCCCGCGAGCCCGGGCAAAAGTCACTTGAGGCCGAGCCAACCTAGGGGAGGCACAGGACAGATTTGTACACCATGAGATGACCTCGCATGGTGACCCCTTGGCTGGTGAGCTTGACCTTTGACACAATCACCATGGTCTTCATCAGCACCACCATCATCATCGTCTTCATCATCATCATCATCACCACCATGACCACCATCATCATCGTCTTCATCATCATCATCACCACCATCACCACCATCATCATCGTCTTCATCATCATCATCACCACCATCATCATCGTCTTCATCACCACCACCACCATCACCATCGTCTTCATCACCACACCACCATTGTATTCGTCACCGTTCTTTGGGCGGATGGACTGCTCCCGCCATAGTAACGACGCCGTGTCTCATTGAGTCAAACTATCGCTTCTACATCGGTTAGAACCGGCATCATCATCGTCTTCATCGTCACCACCACCATCATTGTAATCTCCATCAATATAACCATAAATTATCATCGCCACCATCGTCTTCATCATCACCGCCACCACGATAAGAAGCGTCACTGTCGTATTCATCACCATCCTTTGGATGGATGGACTGGTCCCGCCACAGTAACGGTGCCGTGTCTCATAGAGCAAACACATTGCCTCTGCATCAGTCGGAGTCGCCTTCTCCGGGAGGGCTCGGCTCTTCTCCTCCCAGGGGGCCCCGGCGGCTGCTTCCTTCCACTTCCCCCTCCCCCTGGCCCTCCCCTAGGTCCGCTTCGACGGAAGGTTGATCCCGCGGGGGGGACTGTGCGGCTCGCCGCTCCTCGGGGTGGGAGCACTTCCTGGGGCGGCCCTTGGGCTTCGTCGGCGGGTCTGTCACGCCGCCTTCCAGCACCTGCAGAGATGAGAACTGTCATCATCATCAGCAGCATCAGCAGCAGCAGCATCAGCAGCAGCAGCATCATCATCAGCAGCAGTAGCATCATCAGCAGCAACAGCAGCATCATCATCAGCAGCAGCATCATCAGCAGCATCATCAGCAGCAGTAGCATCATCAGCAGCAGCATGAGCATCAGTCCATAATAAACGTTTTTGGGTTAGATCGCGGTATTTATAAATGTGTCGTAACCCTCCACCACCCGACACGGCCAATCAGTAAACAAAGTGTCACGTTGACAAAAGACCAGTTGGTAATCATCGGGCCAGATGATGCTGGATGATGTAATTACCAGCGAAACGTCGTACTACTCAAAAATAGTAAATGTTGTGGATCCACTCTTCAACACACCGGTGGGCTAAAGCAGTGAACTATTTGTCTTTTGTCAACGTGACACTTTTTTACTGATTGGCCGTGTCGGGTGGTGGAGGTTACGACACATTTATAAATAACCGCGATCTAAACCCAAAAACTTTATTATGAATAATATCGGTCGCGAAAGCCTCCACGTGTTAAACAGCATCATCAGTAATAACAGTAGCAGCAAGCGGCAGCAGCAACAATCATCAGCAGCATCGGCGTCATGGGCAGCATCAGCATCGGTCATCATCATCATCAGCATCGTTTTGTAATCTTCATCAGCGGGAATGAGCTCAAGCCTGCCGTGCATCACGTGACCTCTGTGGGCCCACCCCCTCCCCTCTCCCCGCCCACTGTGGAAACAGACTCCTTGACACTTGATACAGCAATCGTGCTGTGACTGTTCCACCTGAAGACGGAAGCTTGTGTTACCTCCGAAACGTCGTGATTTATTATTTTATTTGTATTATTTCTTATATCAATTTGATTATTTCTTATAAATTTTTTACCTAGGTGACTTTACCGAAAAGACCTAAGAGTATAAAAACAGACTCCGCTCCTCCCACCCCGTACAGCAGCAGCAACAGCAGCAGCAGCAGTGTCGAGGCGTTGCTGCTGCTGCTGCTGCCTCCTGCCTCTCCTCGTCTCCCCAGACCTCTCCGCTCCTTTTTTTTTTTACGATCAGTGGAAACAAGAAGATGCTCGGTGTATTCGGCACTTTGTTTCGTTCATCATTTCGTAAATTTTGTTTTTAAACGGGGCCTTATGTAGCCCTCGCTCGCTCGCTCTCTCGCTCACTCTCGCTCTCTCTCACTCGCTCTCTCTCTCGCCCATTCTCTCGCTCACTCTCTCGTTATGTACTCCACCCTTCTCCTCTCACTCCCCCTCCCTTCTCTCCTCCCTCCCCCCCGCTCTGCACCCCCCCCCCCTTCTCGTGGTGTTCCCCAACGCAGCGGTCGGCAACGCCTGCGGCTCAAGAAGCCGCGTGCGGCGGCTCTTTGGCTGCCTCCTCGCGGCAAACGAAGTTTTATATTTTTTTTAAACGTTAAACATAAATGTGAACACGAAGAACACATTCGTGCGGAGGGAGCTGGTAGGAACGTTGGGTTGCTCGGTCAATGGCCTGCAGGGTCAACGGCGGCGTGGTGTATTCCGCAAATATGGCCGACTGTGAGGGCGGGCACAAGCCGGCGTGAGTAGAATCTTAATTATGGAGCTTTCGGTTAAGTCACGTCTAAAGATAAAATAATAAATTAAAATAAAAGCATATTACGACGTTTCGATTGCAACACAAGCAATCATCATCAGGTTAAAAAGAAAAAGCAACAAAAATCTAACTAGAAAACTATAGACAGACATACAAGCAGACAGACATCACAAGGACACACAGAGAGAGGACACATATCGGCACAAAGAGAGGGGTCGTTTCTGTGACGGTCCCTTAAATATAGAGAGGGGGGCAAGGACGGAGAGAGGGAGGGGGCAGAGAAAATTAGCATATCAATGAGTGGACTGCAAAGTGCTGCTGCTGCGCAAGTAAGATGACGACGTGGCACGACACGCAAGCTTGTAAATTAGGAGAAAGGCACACTAAAATTAAATAACCTCGCAAAATATCGAAATGTGATGTAATACAACACAGAGAGTCGGTCAACACACAATTAACGTATAGCCTGGTTGATTACGTATCTCAAAGATTGCTAAGTTAGAATTTAAGTGTGAAACTTCCAAAGAGAGGACACAGGCAGAGAGAACAAATAGCCAGAGAGAGAAAAAAGATAAGCTTAAAACTTCCCCTTAGAAGTGGTTCAATCTTAATTATGGAGCTTTCGTGACTGCAGGAATTATTCTTTGGTTCTTTCGGTTAAGTCACGTCTAAAGATAAAATAATAAATTAAAATAAAAGCATATTACGACGTTTCGATTGCAACAGCGTGAGTAGGTTAAACGTTGAGTTTTATAAGGGCACCACGGGGTGGCCAGCCCCTCCCCACCCAGCCCCACCCCTCCCACCCCCCTGACCCAGCCCCACCCAGCCCCACCCAGCCCCTCCCCACTCAGCCCCTCCCCACCCCGCCCACCCCCTACCCAGCCCCACCATCCCCACCCAGCCCCTCCCCACCCTCCCCTCCCCACCCAGCCCCTCCCTCCCCACCCAGCCCCTCCCTGCACGGCGGACGGACGGACACAATAATCCCCTGTGGCCTGGTGTAACCAGGAGGTTCCTACCAGTATAACTGATTAAATATGGCAGGGAAAACGGGTCACTGTGAATTGTCTTGGTGACGACAACAGCGACACTACACTGTTAAACAATAACTAAGAGGTATGGGGGTGGGGACGAAATAGGCGCAGTTTATCCCGTCACCTATGTTGCTTCTTGAAGCCGTAATGCGGCTGTCGTCTGCTGTGTCCGTGTCGTCCTGCGGGGTGGCTCAGTGTATGACTGGGGGGGGGGGGGGCTCTACAACTGCGAGAGGTCGCCCCAATGTGGGGGGCGGGCGCCTGACGAAGACCGCTCGTGTTGCGATCGAAACGTCGTGGGGTTTTTTGCTTTCATTATTTGTAATTTATTTGTATATTTTATTTTGTTTTTCTATTTTTAGTTTTTATTGTGGGGTTTTTGCTTTTATTATTTTCAATTTATTTGTATTTTTTTTATTTTGTTTTACTATTTTTAGTTTTTATTGTGGGTTTTTTGCTTTTAATATTTTAAATGTATTTGTATTTTTAATTTTGTTTTACTATTTAAAAAATTTATTGTGGGTTTTTTGCTTTTAATATTTAAAATGTATTTGTATTTTTAATTTTGTTTTACTATTTAAACATTTATTGTGGGGTTTTTGCTTTTATTATTTTCAATGTATTTGTATTTTTTATTTAGTTTTACTATTTTTAGTTTTTATTGTGGGTTATTTAGCTTTTAATATTTTTAATTTATTTGTATTTTTGATTTAGTTTTACCATTGTACATTTTTATTGTGGGGTTTTTGCTTTGATTAATTTCAATTTATTTGTATTTTTTATGTAACTTTTTTTATCGTCGTTTTTTTAGCTTTCATTATTTTAAATTAATTGTGTTTATTCGTAATTTTTAAAAAAAATAATTAATATTTGTAAAGTTATTTTATAATTTTAATGTTATCTATTTGTTTTTTTCTTCTCGATTCACGTGACTTTACCGAAAGAACCATGAACATGAAGGGGGTCTCGTCGCGTTTACCGTCTTTTTCCACTTCATGCGCCGGTTCTGGTACCAGGTCTTGACTTGCAGCTGACTCAGTCCCAGGCTGTCCGCCAGGTCCATCCTCATCGGGAAAGCAGAGACAACGAGTTAGTTCCTTCACAAACGAGATCCAGTGGTGGACAATTCCACATTCCTATGGCGGCGCGAGGGGGCAAGACCATCCATAGGACAACAACAACAACAAAACCCGGGATTAGTCTTGATATAAACAAAAAACAAATAGACGACGCTTTCGGGCATTGGGGCCTTAATCACAGCGCATGCATGCCATGCAGATCATTCATTTGCGTGCTCTGAAGAAGGGCCATTGCCCGAAACGTCGACTAAGCAACGCATTTTCATTTGAAGGCCACACGTACGTTGGTGTTGTTGTTGTTGAGTGTTGGTGTTGTTGTTGAGTGTTGTTTTTGTTGAGTGTTGTTGTTGTTGAGTGTTGTTGTGTTGTTGATGATTGTTGTTGTTGAGTATTGTTGTGTTGTTGTTGTTGTTGAGTGTTGTTGTTGAGTATTCTTGTGTTCTTGTTGAGTGTTGTTGTTGTGGAGTGTTGTTGATGAGTGTTGTTGATGCTGAGTGTTGTTGATGTTGGCTGTGCTTTTATGCACCACTGCCAACGCTGCAACAGCGGCAGCAGCAGCGGCACCACCAACATTTCCCCCACCAAAGTGGTGCTCGTTTTATCGACCCCCCCGGGAGGGATGATGATGATGGGCTAAGCAAAACCGCCACCACCATCCAGGATTGGAGCTCATGGGACACTGTCCATTGCTGGGCCATCCTCGGTGTCGTCGTGGTGGTGGTGGTCCTGGGCCTCCCCTAGGTCAACTCAGCCTTAAATGAGTACCTGGTGCGGTGTGTAGTAAACATCGCCACTGGGGAAACAAAGGTGGCCGGGCGTGGTGGCTGGCCACCCACCACCCCTACGTGTGCCGTGCCGGCCTTCATAGGTGCTGCTCGCTAACAGCACTTGCCCCATCAGTCTGTGAAGGCTACACGGGGGATCTTTGTTGTGGTGGTGGTGGTAGCAGTTGCCCTGGCGCTGCTTTATCCACTGCTGGATGAAGGCCTCCACAAGCAGCCGCAATCCCCATCGGTAAATGATTAGAAATCAATAAATAAATCAATCAATCGATGTTTACATCTCGAATATAAAGACAAAGATCCCCCGTGTAACCTGTAATAGACTGGTGGGGCAAGTGGTGTGAAGTGAGCACATGTGAAGGCCGACACGGCACGCCAGGGGGTGTGTGGCCAACCCCACGCCCGGCCGCCTTTGTCTCCCCAGTGTTGATGTTTATGTAGTAAAAACACTCATATACTACACACACACCTTATACAGACACTCATATACTACACACACACACACACCCTATACACACACTCATATACTACACACACACCCTGTATACACACTCATATACTACACACACACACCCTATATACACTCATATACTACACACACACCCTGTACACACCCGCATATACTACATACACACACTCATATACTACATACACACCCTATACACACACTCATATACTACACACACACACTATACACACACTCATATACTACACACACACACACTGTACACACACTCATATACTACACACACACACACACCCTATACACACACTCATATACTACTACACACACAACCTATACACACTCATATACTACACACACACACCCTATACACGCACTCACATTCTACACACACACACCCTATACACACACTCATATACTACACACACCCTATACCACACACTCATATACTACACACACACACCCTATACAACACTCATATACTACACACACACACCCTATACAAACACTCATATACTACACACACACCCTATACACACACTCATATACTACACACACACACCCTATATACACACACTCATATACTACACACACACACCCTACATACACACACATATACTACACACACACACGCTATACACACTCATATACTACACACACACCCTATACACACACTCATATACGACACACACACCCTATACTCACACTCATATACTACACGCACACACCCTATATACACACACTCATATACTACACACACACACCCTATATACACACTCATACACTACACACACACCCTATACACACACTCATATACAACACACACACCCTATACACACACTCATATACTACACACACACACCCTATATACACACTCATATACTACACACACACACCCTATACACACTCATATACTACACAAACACACCCTATACACACATATACTACACACAGACACTTATATACTACACACACACCCTATACACACTCATATACTACACATACACACACCCTATACACTCATATACTACACACACTCCCCCTATATACACACTCATACACTACACACACACCCTACACACACATATACTACACACACACACCCTATATACACTCATATACTACACACACACCCTATACACACACTCATATAGTACACACATACACCCTATACACACTCTCATATACTAGACACACACTCCCTATATACACACTCATATACTACACACACACACCCTGTACACACTTATATACTACACACACACACCCTATATACACACTCATATACTACACACACACCCCATATACATACACTCATATACTACACACACACCCTATATACACACACTCATATACTACACACACACCCTGTATACACACTCATATACTACACACACACAACCTATACACACACTCATATACTACACACACACAACCTATACACACACTCATATACTACACACACACACCCTATACACACACTCATATACTACACACACACACCCTATACACACTCATATACTACACACACACACCCTATATACACACTCATATACTACACACACACACAGACCCTATACACACACTCATATACTACACACACACACCCTATACACACTCATATACTACACACACACACCCTATATACACTCATATACTACACACACACACCCTATACACACTCATATACTACACACACACACCCTATACACACACTCATATACTACACACACATACCCTATACACACACTCATATACTACACACACACACCCTATACACACACTCATATACTACACACACACACCCTATATACACACACTCATATACTACACACACACACCCAATACACACACTCATATACTACACACACACACACCCTATACACACTCATATACTACACACACACACACCCATATACACACTCATATACTAAACACCCTATATACACACTCATATACTACACACACGCTATACACACTAATAAACTATACACACACACCCTATACACACTCATATACTAAACACACACACCCTATACACACACTCATATACTACACACACACACCCTATATACACACACTCATATACTACACACACACACCCTATACACACTCATATACTACACACACACACCCTATACACACTCATATACTACACACACACACCCCTATACAACACACTCATATACTACACACACACCCTATATACACACACTCATATACTACACACCACACCCTATACACACACTCATATACTACACACACACACACACCCTATATACACTCATATACTACACACACACACCCTACACACACTCATATACTACACACACACCCACCCTATACACATACTCATATACTACACACCACATACCTAGATACAACTCATATACTACACACACACACCCTATACACATACTCATATACTACACACACACCCTATATACACACACTCATATACTACACACACACACCCTATACACACACTCATATACTACACACACACACCCTATACACACTCCATATACTACACACACACCCTATATACACACTCATATACTACCACACACACAGACCCTATACACACACTCATATACTACACACACACACCCCTCATATCTACACTCATATACTACACACACACACCCTATACTCTCATACTACACACACACCCTATACACACTCATATACTACACACACACACCCTATACACACACTCATATACTACACACACATACCCTATACAAACACTCATATACTACACACACACACCCTATACACACACTCATATACTACACACACACACCCTATATACACACACTCATATACTACACACACACACCCTATACACACACTCATATACTACACACACACACCCTATATACACTCATATACTACACACACACACACCCTATACACACTCATATACTACACACACACACACCATATACACACTCATATACTACACACACCCTATATACACACTCATATACTACACACACCCTATACACACTCATATACTACACACACACACCCTATACACACACTCATATACTACACACACACACCCTATATACACACACTCATATACTACACACACACACACCCTATACACACTCATATACTACAGACACACACACCCTATACACACACTCATATACTACACACACACATCCTGTATACACACTCATATACTACACACATACACCGTGTATACACACTCATATACTACACACACACACCCTATACACACACTCATATACTACACACACACACCCTATATACACACACATATACTACACACACACACCCTATATACACTCATATACTACACACACCCTATATACACACTCATATACTACACACACCCTATACACACTAATAAACTATACACACTACATGAACAGGCTCCATAAAAACACACACTAATACTATATACACACACTACTACTATATAAACACACACACTAATACTATATAAACACACACACTAATACTATATAAACACACACACTAATACTATATAAACACACACACTAATACTATATATACACACACACTAATACTATATAAACACACACACTAATACTATATAAACACACACACTAATACTATATAAACACACACACTAATACTATATAAACACACACACTAATACTATATAAACACACACACACTAATACTATATAAACACACTCACTAATACTATATACACACACTAATACTATATAAACAAACAC